AGCACGCACCCATGCATGTATACACATTTAAAAACTGATTGATACCGGACCACATACTTGGATTTGGCACATCCTTGTGGTAATAAAAGAGCAGATCTTTTGCTATTTTGGGTGACACTTCTTTTCTTTTTTTTTTTGTCATTTTCTTTGTAGAATGAGACTGATGTTGATTGCTCAAACTCCTAAACATTGTTGTGTTTCACTCCCACTCTGTACCTTCTTCCATCTATAAAACCCAGCAGTCATCATCACTTTATATATAATTTTCTATAATTCCTGTCAGACTATAGTAATGTTTTACTCATTTGCATAATGATGGAGAACAGCAAAAAAAAATCTGTTTTAAAACAGTGAGTTGAAAATAAGAAGAGACTGTGACTGTATCTCAAAGATGGAGACGTTTAAAAAAAACAAATAAAGTACTTGCATTCTTTCTTGTGGCCACCAGGGGGAGACTGAACAAAGTCTGACTGTAAAGAAATCTAAGAGGAACATTAAACTATCGCTCACGTGATTTTATGACATCAATGAAAACTTTCAGTGTTAGTTTATATTTCAAGTTTTAAGTCATATTTTTTTAATTTCTGACTGTTGTATCAGAAAGAATCATCTGAGTTCAAAAGGCTTTATTTGTAAAAGTAACAAACATAGAAACTTGTGGTAAATTTTAAAATGTATGGCTGAATACTTCCGTCGCTACCTGCCAGCAACCACGTGAAACTCATGAATCTGCGCTTTCTAACAGTACGTGTGTCAAATGTTACCAGTGAACGCTGCAGGATTACAGCTTTTTGGAATCGGATCATTCTTTTTAATAAACTCTGAGTATGATGAAGTAGGCGGTTCTACCTTGTGATTGACTAGTTCGCAGCATTTCCCTGGCAGGTCTACTTGTCTTTTGTGATGTCTGGTTTAAAAACGAGCAAACCAAAAAAACTGAGATGGCGATGATCAAAATCCTGAGCCAGAATACTGAAAGCTGTAGACTGCATACTAACAGGTGGTGTCACATTGGCTACATCTTTGCAGGTTTCGTCAATGGAATTACTCTTATAATTCATAACTGTGTTCTTTGGTAAATAAACTAACACAAACAAGTAAAATTGAGATCACATGTTCTTGGAGATTGTGTATTTTTCCTTGACACTTAGCTTAAAAAATAACCACTGATCAGCTTGATGGACGAGCTAATAAATCTTTTTCTCGTCTTTCTCAGGTGAGAGGCTGCCCAAACCCGACAAAGGCAAGATGCGTTTCCACAAGATTGCCAATGTTAACAAAGCTTTGGACTTCATCTGCAGCAAGGGGGTCAAGCTGGTGTCTATTGGTGCTGAGGGTAAGACAAGACCTTTAAAATGAGTCAGAGTTTTGTCTGATTAATTCATCAGGATCTGCTAAGACGAGTAACACGCGTCCGTGTGTTTGGTTTTGTAGAAATCGTCGACGGTAACGTGAAGATGACTCTTGGTATGATCTGGACCATCATCCTGCGTTTTGCCATCCAGGACATCTCTGTGGAAGGTGTGTTTCCATAAAG